TTCTGGGGTGCAGAAGCCTCTGGAAGGGACCAATCCCATTTTCCCCTGCAGACATCAACGAGTGCGAGCGGGACCCGCTGCTGTGCCGGGGCGGGATCTGCATGAACACCGACGGCAGCTTCGAGTGCATCTGCCCCCCTGGGCACGAGCTGACAGCCGAGGGCAACACCTGCATTGGTGAGGGCTCAGCAGGGAAACCCCACAGGCAGAGCTCCTGCAGGGCTCTGGGTGTCTCCTTCCCATCCCGTGCATCCCATCCCTGGATGTGGCCAAGAGTTTGGAGCAGCCTGGGCTAGGGAAAGGTGTCCCTGCCCGTGTCCCTGCCCATGGATGATCCTTAAGGTCCCTCCCACCCAAATCCTTCTGTGCTTCCATGATAAGTGTGTCCAGCTCATCCCAGAGGAGCTCATTCCAAGGCCAAGAGCTCACCCAGACCAAGCTCATTCCCAGCGTTTTGTTGCATTGGTGTTGTTCATTTTGCTGCTCCCTTTGACCAGTGGGAAAAAATCCAGTTTGGGCACCAGCTGACGGCCTGAGCAGGGCTGGCTGCTCCAAGTGCTCTTGTCCCCTCAGACATCAACGAGTGCTCCCTCAGTGACAACCTCTGTCGCAACGGGCGCTGCGTCAACGTCATCGGCACCTACCAGTGCTCCTGCGACTCTGGATTCCAGGCCACGCCGGACAGGCAGGGCTGTGTGGGTGAGTGCTCCTCCAAAGGGTCCTTCCAGAGCCTGGCATGAGCCCAGAACCCTCCCGGGCTCATGGGTGTTGTGTTCAGAGGGTAAAGCTAACGGGGAATGTCGTGGATGGGCGACAGCCAAATCTGTGCTGCTGGCACAGGGCTCTGAGGGCACTGCCAGGGGCCGGGCAGAAGGAATGAGGTGTTCTCTTGTGGCTGGGGGAGATTTGTGTCCTCTTCTCCCACCCAAACTGCTGCCTGGGCCCTTGTCTGTGCAGGGCTGGGTCCCTGTGGGTCCCTGCCAGCTCAGGGTGCTGTGGTTGTCCCCAGACATCGACGAGTGCACCATCACCAACGGGGGCTGTGACACCCACTGCTCCAACTCCGAGGGCAGCTACGAGTGCAGCTGCAGCGAAGGCTATGCCCTGATGCCAGACAAGAGGTCCTGTGCAGGTCAGTGCCCACCTTGGCTCTTGCAGGTGCTGCCCCAGGGACCTCTCTGTCCCCACAGCTGGCTCCAGGATCAGGGGGTCTCATCCTCCCAGAGATGGATGATTTTGCTTTGCACTGCCACACCCAGCTGCTCACAATTTGGGATTTCCTCCTTCCCCCTGGTGCTCCAGCTTTCCCTGTGTTCACCTTGGCATGGTCTCCTCTCTGCAGATATTGATGAGTGTGAGGATAACCCCGAGATCTGTGACGGGGGGCAGTGCACCAACATCCCCGGCGAGTACCGCTGCCTCTGCTTCGACGGCTTCATGGCATCCCTGGACATGAAGACCTGCATTGGTGAGGCCCTGGCTGTGCCCTGGGCGTGCCCCAGCTCTGCCTCCTGTCCCCAGAGCCACACTGGGGGGTCCTCGGGGTGTCCCATGGGTGCTTTTGTCCTGCAGATGTGAACGAGTGCGACCTCAACCCCAACATCTGCCTGCACGGCGAGTGTGAGAACACCAAGGGCTCCTTCATCTGCCACTGCCAGCTGGGCTACTTCGTCAAGAAGGGAACCACAGGGTGCACAGGTGGGAGCTCAGCACGCCTGGAGCTGGGGCTGCCACTGAGGAAAAATGGGAAACTGCCCTGGAGGCAGCCCCAGCCCACAGTGCTGTGTGGGGGATGCTGTGGGATGTGCTGGGCAGGCACACAGGGCCAGGACCCACCTGTTCGCAGGTGATGGCCAAGCTACGAGCCTGCCCTTCCTCCTGCACGTTTGCCAGGGCTGAGCTCTTCAGCTCCAGCATCCAAGCCCAGGCAGCCTCTCCCCCAAATCCCTGGGAGCTGAGGGAGTGGGATCAGCCCAGCTCAGCCCTGCTGTGCTGGGGGAGCTGAGCTGGGCCAGCCCTGGTGTCCTTCCTCTGCAGACATCGACGAGTGTGAGATTGGGGCCCACAACTGTGACATGCACGCCTCCTGCATCAACGTCCCCGGCAGCTTCAAGTGCAAGTGTCGCTCGGGCTGGCTCGGGGACGGGCTCAAGTGCAACGGTGAGTGCTCACCAGGGCAGGGCAGCCCTCTCCAGGGGCTCTGGGGAGCCTGGGCTGAGATGGAGGGGTTCAACCTGGAGAAAAGGAGGCTCAGAGGGGACCTGCACAGCTCCCTGACAGGAGGGGACAGCCGAGGGGTCAGGCTGTGCTCACAAGGGACAACAGGACAAGAGGGAACAGCCTCAGGCTGGGCCAGAAAAGGTTTAGGTAGGATATTGGGAAAATGTCTTCGTGGAAGTGTCCAGCCCTGGCACAGTCTCCATCCCTGAAGGATTTAAAGCCATGCAGATGTGGTAGTTGGTGACATGGTCAGGGGGTCAGCAGTGTCCTGGTGATGGCCATAGAGGCTCTCAGGGATGTGCTGAAGCCTCCAGACAGTCTCCTGGGCCATTTGTGTGCCCCTGTAGCTGCTCAGGCTCAGGGCAAAGCCACAAAAATGCCAGGCTGGACAGGGCTTGGTGAAAGGTGTCCCTGGGGGTGGAACTGGATGATCCTTAAGGTCCTTCCCACCCAAACCACTCCGTGCTTCCATGAGTGAGTCCAGCTCATCCAGGAGCCCAAGCTCATTCCAGATTAGCCAGGCCAGGCACTGACAGGCTGTTATCCATGCCCAGACCTGGATGAGTGTGCAACTGAGGAGCACAAGTGCAACCTGAACGCCAACTGTGTGAACACGCCCGGCTCGTACCGCTGCGCCTGCCGCGACGGCTTCAACGGCGACGGCTTCTCCTGCTCAGGTGAGCCTGGGGCTGGCCAGAACAGGGCTGGGACAGACCCCAGCCCCTGCCCAGCCTTGAACAGACAGATTCTGTCTGCTGAGGAAGGTGGAGCCTCCCCTGAAATGGGAAAGGTAAACCCTCTCCCTCTGAATTATTGTAATTTTGAAATTAAGGGGATCTCAGGGAAAGATGTGGGAATAGGAATAACAGTTCTGTACTAGGAAAATGCAGTGGGAAAACGCTGCTCTGGTATCCCAAAACCTCAGATTATATCCAGGTAGGAATGCTTGGCTCCTCCCCCTGGGCGGGGCATCTCCCAATGGGATGATGGAATTTTATCAGCCATGCAGTGACACTCAATGCCTCATTAACAGAAGATAATTAATAATTGATGGCCCATTAACAGAAGATCGCTCCTGGAGGGAGGATTGGTTGTGGAAGAGATAAAGAAAACTGCCCAATGAGCAGAAGATAACTGCCCCACCTCTGCCAAATCTGGAAATAGAATACACACATTATCTTCCAATCCAGGACAGCCCCTCTGAGCCACCAGCCTTGGCTGGGTGGTGCCCAGAGCACATCTGGTCTGTGCCACAGGGCTCCGGCACCTCCTCACAGATGTCAGGGGAGGCTCAGGGCCATGGCAGGAGCTGCAGCCTCCCAGCCGTGGGTGGGCACCCTCCTGGGCTCCCCTGGGCTGGCAGAGGGCAGCCCCCAGCCCCGTGTCCCCTCCCTGCAGACGTGGATGAGTGTGCAGACAACGTGAACCTGTGTGAGAACGGGCAGTGCCTCAACGCCCCTGGCGGGTACCGCTGCGAGTGCGAGATGGGCTTCAACCCCACCGAGGACAGCAAGGCCTGCCAGGGTGAGTGCCCAGGCCCTGAGCCCCTCCTGGGCCTCTCTGGCCTCTGCTGGCACCTCCTGCTCCATGAGCCAGCCCCCAGCGCCTGCTGGTGCCAGGCTCCTGAGGTGCCACCTCTGCCACTGGTGGTGGTTGGTGCCCAGCCTTCAGAGAGCTTGGGCTGAGCCTGGATTCCTGCAAAATGGAAAAGCAGGAGAGCAGGGGTGAGGGGAAAGAGGGGGAGAGGGTTGGGGGGCCCAGCTTCCCCAGGAGATTGTCTGAAATGGCACCAGGACCATCCTGGGGTGGGATGGTCACAGCTGGGCAGGAGGTGGGAGCAGGAGCAGCCTGTCCTGCCCCAGCCTGTCCCCAGCTGTCCCTGTTTTGCAGACATTGATGAATGCACCTTCCAGAACATCTGTGTCTTTGGCACCTGCCAGAACCTGCCCGGGATGTTCCGCTGTGCCTGCGACGATGGATATGAGCTGGACAGGAGTGGGGGCAACTGCACAGGTCAGGGCCCCTGGCTGCCTGCTCTGGGCTCTGCTGGGCTCATCCATGGCAGCCTGAAAGCAGCCCACGGTCCCTGTGGTGTCCTTGCTGCTGGGGTGGCCAGGGGGCACAGCTGAGTGTGGCTCTGCTCCTCCTCTGGGCAGGGAGCTGAGGGTGGCACAGGGCAAGGGTGGGGATACACCTGGGCACAGAGCTGGGGCTGGGCTGGGCTTTCCTGGCAGCGCTCACCTTGATCTTCACTGTCCATCTGTCCGTCCTTTCAGACATCAACGAGTGTGCAGACCCTGTGAACTGCATCAACGGGCTCTGTGTCAACACCCCGGGCAGCTACCTGTGCAACTGCCCCCAGGACTTCGAGCTGAACCCCACGGGGGTGGGCTGTGTGGGTGAGTGGGACCCCACCCAGACCCACCTGGGGGTCCTTCTGGGTGCTCCTGTGTGGCTGGAGCTGGGCATGGCGAGGGTGGCTGTCCCTCTGTGGCTGTCCCTGCCTGCCTGCCTGTCCCCCAGGGGTTTAACCCTGCAGCAGCAGCAGAACCCACGTCCTGCTGAGTGTGTCCCACCTGGTGTCACTGTCACAGCTCTCTTGTTGCTCCAGGGCAGCTCTGGAGCTGTTTTATTCCCTGCCAGTGCCCAAGGCCAGGTTGGACAGGGCTTGGAGCAGCCTGGCACAGTGGAAGTTGGCCCTGCCCATGGCCAGGATGATCCTTCAGGTCCCTTCAGCCCAAACCATTTGGGATTCCACGATTCCACACAGCTCCCAGCACAGGGCCCCAGTAACCCCCAATTTTCCCTTATTCCTGGAAGATTTCCCATTCCTTTGCAGGGCATGGAGCGGGGTCACCTTTAAGGTCCCCTCCATCCCAAACCATTCCACAATTCCACGATCCCATCCCTCCTGCACCCCCAAGCTCTCCGGGAGAGGTTTCTTTGCTCAGAGCCCTGTGTCTGTGCAGATACCCGCGTTGGGAATTGCTTCCTGGACACGCAGGACCGAGGGGACGGGGGCATCTCCTGCAGCGCCGAGATCGGCGTGGGGGTCACCAGGGCCTCCTGCTGCTGCTCCCTGGGCCGTGCCTGGGGCAACCCCTGCGAGCTCTGCCCCCCAGCCAACACCAGTGAGTGGGGAACAGCTCGGGATGGGCACGGGGGAAGGAGGGAAGAGGGGCAGGGTCGCTCTCCATGGATCTTCAACCCAAACTGGAG